TCGACATACATAAGTGGATGCTCATAAGTTGATGAGTTCACTAAACTCCCTCAATCTAGACATCTCTAAGTGGTTCCTGATAATCGAGTAGAGGTTTCTATGATATAGTTGTACACCATTAATCCTCAAGACCCAGACATCACCGTGACTTCACTAGAGGACCAACTGTATCGTGACCTGTCCCTGAGTTCCACCGAGGACCGCCCCAAGGGCCAGTGTTCGTGCAGTCCGAAATCTAGTGGGAGGTTTGTGCATTGTAGTAGGGGATTCGATCGCTTGATCGGTCATGGATATCCTGTGTGTTCTTACGATTTATAATCCATGAAGTCTGTGGCCACAACTGAAAGTGTCGTGATTAGAGAAATATGTTTCTCTAAGTCAAACACAAACGGATTATATAATCAAGAACGTCCACACAGTTATTCAACTCATAAAGAGGTCTCGAATAACCAATGCCTCTAGTTCAATTGGGATATATGTATCGAAGGGATCGTATTGTACGTTAACTATATCACATGGTTCTTGCAGGCACTTCATTTGTATCTAGGGAATCATGACGTGTAGTTGCCAGACGTCAATCTTGATTCGTTGGGTAGTTAAGTTTAAACTAGCTTCAACTTAATTTTAACCCAGGGACGAGTTTAGACCACAATGGGTTGTGGGCCCACGGCTAGCTTACACCTGAACCATCGAGGGTCACACTACTCGTGTACTTGAGATCCTTAATGCAACGAGCTAAGATTAATTAGTTAATCTTAGTGTAATTGGAAGTCAATGTGATTAAGTCCAACATCTGTAATTGTTAGTTACGGATGAGAATAAGTAGACGAAAAGAATCAAACGGAAATTTAGTGTACTTTCTATTTTGGGAAGTTTCCCAATTTGGCAAGTCCTAAATTAGGGTTTCCAATTTCGGAAATTGGTAAATTGCAAAGTGGTACTAGTATCGACGAGAATTTGTGCCAGTTGTCAAAATATAATTGATATATTTTTGTGAGCATTCGTTTGTTAGAAACGAGCCGAGAAAGAGAGTGGACTTAAGTTGTTGGGCCTAGCCCAACTTAAGGTCTGTTAGGGTTTTCACAAGGAGCATTTAAATAGGATTTATATGTCTTGTGAAAGACACACAAAAAAATGACATAACACAAGCTTGAAACCCTAGCCTCTCTCCCTCCATCGGCCGTCCACCTTGCAGCCGAAACCCTACCTCCGCCACCAGGCGCCCCTACCTCCGCCACCAGTCGCCGCCACATCGGCATTTCCCTTTTCCCTTCGTTCTTCTTCGTGGTACTTAGCCTATAACATATCTAGTGCTGCGTGGATAGTGGATTGAATATACGAGGTGAAACCTAAGGGGAGGAAGATTATTATGCCGCCAACCCTACCACCACGATCGTCGCCACGCGAGAAAAACTGCTCTCGGATTTTATGCGCAGTCCAGCTGGAAAATTCGCCATAAATCATCCGGTCATCCGATGGCTATGAAACTTTGAAAAAAGCTCCGAAACTCATGGGTCTACAATCTGCCAAAAGGAATTGTGCATCTAGTAAATATACATGGAGATATTGAAGTCTGAACAGGCCTGTAATTTCAGAAGAGAGGTTGGATCAGTTGGAGTGGGTAGAGCAGCTAGCCATCTTCTCGTGTCTTCGTTCGATTCACGCTTCAAGGGTAAAGTATCGTTTTCCCTAATTAATATATATATTAATTAATTCATATTAATTGAGATTAATGTATGTTAATTGATTATTGAATCACATGACTCTATATGTTCGATTATGTGTTTATGTGAATCGTTTCTTGAGCATGTTAATTATTTGATTTAATTTCGCGAGCATGCTATGGTGATTTAATTTATGTCATTTAAATTAATTATATATGCGAGCATGTTTGTCGGTGATTGGAAGCGAAAATGTACGCAATTAATTGTAATTATTGTGCACGTGTTTGTTTATATAGATTAAATAAAAAAAAATTGTTTTTCGTTGCGTACACGTGCCAGATCCCCAACAGTGGTATCAGAGCTACGGTTGCGCAATTAATTGCCTACGTGTTTATTGTTTTCGATTGCATGTGAATAGTTTATTCAATTGATTGAATTGGTGAAATTGGAACTTGGTTGGTTTAATTTTAATTTGATTTTAAAATTGGATTTGATCGATTTTAAAATTAGAATTAGAAAATTGGATTAATTAATTCTAAAATTGGATTTGATCAATTTTGAAATTGGAATTAGAAAAGTGGATTTTTGTTTTAAAATTGGATTTGAATTTTAAATTCCAAAATGATTTTTTAAAAACTATGCGGGCCGGACAACTCGGTCATGCCGGTATTTTGGATAATTTAGATAATTTGAGTAGATTGGGTTTATTTATTTATTTTTTTGAAACAAAAGGGAAACCATTTTATTAGGCAAATGATGCCAAGTGAGTTGGAAGATAATCATCTTCATAATAATCATCTACATTAAGATGGGCTACTGTATGCGCAATGCAATTCCCATTTCGTTTGACAAAAGAAAATATACAAGAATCAAAATAATTAACAAAGAGACGGCATTCTTCAATCAAAGCGCCAAAGGACGTCAAATTGCTCTCTGAACTTTTAAGTGCATTAATAACTTGTGGGCCTGTCTATGTGATATTCTGTCAAATAATTCTTCCCCCAAGAGACCAGGTCCGAAACCACTGTGTTAGGCGACTCATGCACTTCTTGGTTTCTAATATGCCATGCTTTCCAGCTGATTACAATTGCAAGGTTCAGATCTTCATTGTTCAAAGTTAGACGAAGGTGTTCAAACCACAGCCAAAAGTTATTGTATTTTCCTACCTTATCGAGTTTATTGAAAGGAGGTGTTGCCCATACTTTATACATCCCACCGCAGTGACCGATAACATGCATAGTTGATTCTCGGGGTGAACCACATCGTCGACACGACGGGCTAGTGCTTAGTTTTCTCCGGAAAAGCTCTTCATTCGTTGGTAGAATACCATTACAAGCCCTCCATAAAAAGATTCTGATTTTGGGTGGAAGCTTTAGATTCCAAATAACGTTCCATGGTTTCGTTGGGTTTATACTAATATCAATTAATAAAAATGGATTTATATATATATATATATATATATATATATATATATATATATATATATATATATATATATATATATTATGAGTCATTTTCCACTATATATTTTACCATTTTCCGTCAATTATAGGTGGATTTTTTTTTCTCCAAAACATCTAATTGCTTAGATTTTTTTAATTTTCTGAATAAATCCTTTTATTTTTGGCATTTTGAGTTCTTCATTTTTTTTTCTTAAATGTTTTTCGCTAGTTCAAACATCCTAAGATTATAAAACATCTTTACAATCCTATTATTGTTGAAGAAAAAAAATAAAAATATCAAAATTTCCCAAGTAATGATTGAAAATGTTAAAAAATATAGTGGAAAATGCCTCAAACAAACCCTTATATTTATAGGCTTATAAGGGGTATTGACGTCAGATTTTGGTAAAAATATAACAGCATGGGGTTTTTTGTATTTATGTGTAATACAGGGGTATAACAAAGTTCATATTACATGGGTGTTTTTGCATTTATCCCTATTTTAAATAAACAAGATACGAAAAATACATATTAAATATAGGGCAAATGGCAAAAAGGCCCATCACATGGGACTTAAATGCATTTTGGTCCACAAAAAAAACAGTCTCTCAATTAAGCTCATCCCCATGTCTTTAGTCTAAAATACCCTCAATAATATAATTCTTATTAATTCCACCCATTATACTCTAACTTCCTTAATATTACACATTGACCCCGAATTTAAACAAATATATCACATTAACCCCCAAAACTTTTGTTTTTCAGAAAATAATTTTTTTTCTGAATTGTTTTTTTTTTCCGGCCAGATTCCGGCGTTGACCGCTGGAGACCGCCGGTCTCCGGCATTGAATTTTTTTTTTTTTTTTTTTTTTTTGAAACTTCTTTTTTCCTGAATTTTTTTCCGGCCGCCACCGTTGACCGCCGGTCTCCGGCGTTGATTTTTTTTTTTTTTTTTTGAATTATTTTTCTTAGAAAAAAAATATTTTAATTAATATTATTGTCTTGGCTACTAAATTACTGTCTCAAACAGTAATATTACTGTTTGGGACAGTAATATTATGAATATTATTTATCCGAACACTAATATTATTAATATTATTGTCTAAGACAGTTAAATTACTATTGGAGACAGTAATTTAACATCCAAGGCAGTAATATTAATTAAAATAATTTTTTTAAGGAAAATAATTAAAAAAAAAAAAAAAAAGTCAATTAACAGTTAAATTACTGTCTCCGACAGTTAAATAACTGCCGGAGACAGTAATTTAGCAACGAATACAGTAATATTAATTAAAAATATTTTTTTTAAGAATAAAAAAGTCAATTAACAGTTAAATTACTGTCTCCGACAGTTAAATAACTCCTGGAGGCAGTAATTTAGCAACGAATACAGTAATATTAATTAAAATATTTTTGAAGAAAAAAAAAGAACAAAAGAGTCAATTAACAGTTAAATTACTGTCTCCGACAGTTAAATAACTGCCGGAGACAGTAATTTAGCAGCGAAGACAGTAATATTAATTAAAATATTTTTTTTAAGAAAAAACAAAATTATAAAAAAAAAAAGAAAAAGTCAACGGGCGGTCAACGGCAGTTGACCGGCCGGAAAAAAATTTCAGGAAAAAAAAAATTCAAAAAAAAAAAAAAAAAAAAAGTCAACGCCGGTCAACGGCGGCGACCGGCGGTCTCCGATGGTGACTGGTCAAAATTGAGGTCAAAATTGTATTACACGATTATGAATTAGGGGGTTACATTTCGTTGACTAAATTTCGTACGGGTAAATGCTAATACTTTTAACATAAGAACTTTTCCAACAATTAGAGTTATTTCAGAGGTACCGTTTGCTAAAATCTCTAAGTAGAATATTAAACAAAAAGAAGAAGTATTTAGTCTCGCATCCAGATGGGATGGGGTTTTCAAAATCCGGCAAAAAGGAAAACGTCTCATCTCAAGAATATTTGATCCGGATCGACTAGGTTTGCCACCTGATTAATTAATGCTTCCAGGTACTTGTAATTATTAGTTCATTTTTTTTCTCTCAGTTCTGTAGTTGTTTGAGGATCGAAATTTGGTTCTGAGTGGATTACACAAGTAGGCGCTTTTTGATTTGATGTAGAAATTTCATATGTTAATATGATTTATAAATTTGCTTTCTTGAATTTTTATTAATATAGTATTGTTAGTTTACTTTCACAATTCAGAAAGAAAGAAACGATCTCATTGTCTTTCTTGGTGCAAAGTGAAGATCCTGTTATACTTGAACTTTGGTGGACATCCTAAAGTGTTTATTTTGGAGTTGATAATTGGTTAAACACGATTCATTTTACGATTTTCTTCAGCCATGTTTGGACGCGGAAAAAGATTACTCAAGCAGTCTAGGAGTGCAAGAAATATCAGGTTCCCAGCTTTATTTACGCTTCTGATATTGATAATGGTGGCATTGGTGCTTTTATTCGGAAAGAACGACGACCGATCGAGATTGATGTCTGATCTCGAGAACCAAAAATGGAACAGCTTCGACTCTTTGGTTCAGTTAAATCCGACGGTAGAATTAAGAAATGGGACTGATTTGATATGGCAGATACCAGACTTGCCTAAGGCGGTTCTCTTCTTGGCTCATGGTTGTAATGGCAGAGCACTTAATTTTTGGGATAAGTCTCGTAATTGCCCAAATTGTGTTGGTTTGCCCGAAGAGAGGCTCATTGTTCTTAATGCTCTCGCTAGAAATTTTGCTGTAATTGTTGTATCGAGTAAAGGAGTGTGCTGGTCAATTGGTGAAGAGAGATGGATAGTTAAAGATACGATTCAGTGGTGGATCGCAAAGCATAAAAAAAAGCTAGAAAATTTGCCGGTATTTGCATTAGGGGCCTCGTCTGGTGGATATTTCGTTTCAGTCCTCGCAGCAGAGTTTCGATTTACAAGTATTGCTTTGATGATAGCCGAAGGGGTGTACAGTAATTTGGATATAAAGAATGATTACCCATCGACACTTTTTGTGCACATGCCAAAAGACGAAAATAGGAATCGGAAGATCCAAAGGTATATTGTAGCTATGAGGGAGAAGGGAATTGATGTGGCGGAAGTTAAATGCATGGAATTTCCTATAAGTCCTCAGTTCTTCTCGAACAGAATTCCGGGTGTGGATATAAACTTGTCAATGACACTGTTTGATTTTTTTAAGGAAAAGGGATTTGTTGACAAGAACGGTTACATGAGGGATGACGGGCGTGCAATTCCATGGAAAACAGCTCTCGAGGAGAGGAATATTCCGAATATTGGGAATATTCTTCTTCCGGATAAATCATTGGTGAATCATATTCAAGAGGAAATGAATCTTGCATTTGCATATCATGAAATGACTAGCTTGCAATCTCGGCAAATCTTTGATTGGTTCGAGTCTCATATGAATTTGTGATTCATAGATGTTCCTTTTTTGTAGCAGCAAGAAAAGCTCAATTTATTTAATCCAATATGTCATATTTATCTTCCACGATGATGGTGAAGTCTTGTTGCACATTATATTGTAATCCCCTTTGTAAAATGATTAATTTGCTAATTGGAGAACTTATTAAATCCAATGTCATCTTATTAATCTTGTTGCAATTAAGATGGGAAGTCACGTTCTGTTTCTTCCACAGATGAAGGTTCAGGTATTATTATTGCCTTTGTTGGATATTTGATTGATCAAATGTTGAGAATATGAATATGATCTTCATTTAGTATGATAAATAAAGCTGCACGAGAGTGCTTGGTCGTTACACATTCATTCTTCCAATTAAGATCATATCCACTTGTTTAATTGTTCGCTCCAATATTGTATTTGTATGTATCTCACTAGGATCAACGATATATATATGATGTTTGCATAGTTTCCCATCAACACAAAAACCTTTCAACAAATGATTTCTGCAGTTATTTTTTAGATACTTCATGTCTATGTATTGAAGCTATTGAGCTGGTGGTCTTTTTTTTTTTTCTTTTTTTTTTTTTTTTTTTTTTTTTGTTTTTGGTGAAGATGTACTTGTAACGACGCCACAAGAGATAAATATGGCATGCAATCTGACCGAGCAACACATCGAGGCTAGAAAGGTAATTTCTTGAAACTATGTTACTTAATGTCTAACCAACCTAATTTTCAAATTGGCAAGGATTTCAGAGTTTTGACGAAAAAATCATCTTTAGACTTTACTACATATAAAAAAGGTGTTAGTTGTCTAGACCTTGCTGAGGATGTCTAACCATTGGTCAAGATTTTGTAAATGAAATTGTTAGGATGCATTCATTAATATTAAAGCTTAGTAGCATATTTTGTATTTCAGATAAGCATAGAGCATTAGAATTGAATCATAGTATTATTACAATAATGGATTAATCTAGTAAGGTTTCTCCCATAGAAGCAAATAGTCAAACTCTCAGAGTTGTCTGGGGCGGTCGTATTCCTTTCTGAATGTGGAGCCCACACCGGTCGAACACTGTGTTTTCTCTTGTTTATTGATTATTGAATGTGCTTCGTTGTTAGTCTGTGACTTGAGAATTGTACCGACATATATGATTTTGGTGAAATGTTTTTTTTTCTTCTGTTAATCGATTAAATGAGAAAAATGTTTGTCAAATGTACATCATTGGAAGTTGTCTTTTGTTTTGTTTTTATTATTCTTATAGTTTGGAGTATTTGGGAATGGATTTTATATGGAAAAATTCAAGTGGTTGATTTTGAGGAAGAAGATGGACGTGTAACAAAAATTGGGAATAAGTATTGAATACATTTTATATAAAGTTATTCGGAGCATTTATAAATCGAAAAAAGATCTTCTATGTTTCGAAATTACAAAGACCCTGTTGAAAAATTTGGCAACTAGTACAGTACATCTACTGAGGTTATTTTCAGGTTTGGTAATGAGATTCAATTTTATAAACATACTAGATCTAAAAGAGATCTCTATTTATGTCATTCATTCTCAACTTTTAGTATTTATATACGGTTTAACACGAACTTATTGTTATTAGCACTAGCAAAATATTCCGGCGAACATAGATGAAGACAGGCAAAGAAGTCTTTGCACGGCTAAAAATGACAGGGTGGCATAAAAATGTGCAACATAAAACAAAAATAACTAATATTACAGTGGAATAAAACATATAATAAATATCAACCTAAAGAGAAAGAACCCCCATACAATGCAAGTGAAAGAAATTAAACACACAACAATATAGTAAACCAAACTGATTATGACACACAACAATAGTACTAATCTTCATCATAATAATATAGTAATATTTAATCTTGTTTTGATAGGTTGGAGGTTGGTTTCAGTGTCTACCCTCATTAGCCAGCTTGAATAGTCGAGCCTGAGCCGAAGCAGCTCTGTTGGAGCCAAGTGATGCAATGAAGCTATCTCTGACCTGGGTGGTTGTGTAAGGGAAGCTTGTACTATGAGCCATTGAGTTGAGAAGTGCAGCCGTGCCTTGTCTGTAAAGTTCTCCAAACCCATCTGAACGAGTGTTTGAAAGTGCCTGTATGAGGTTCATGTTCGACCCAAGTCCGGGTGATGAGGTAGGCACACCAAATGCATTCCCAACTGTACCCCACCACCCTATTAAACCCCATACCAGTGTTGGATGGTTCCTCCAGTAACTGCATATATATCATCAGTTCATCCATCAGTTCATTACATTTATTATTATTATTATTAATAATAATGATTTGGGAATCACTTACTTGCAAGAGAAAGGTGGAGAATTTGGGTCGAAGGGAAACGCAGGTGATGGTATAGTGATTCCGGGAGTCCCTGGTATAACGATTGGAGTAGTTGGTGGTGTTATAATGGGAGTGGTTGGTGGATTTACAATGGGAGTTGTTGGTGGATTCACAATTGGAGTTGTGGGTGTAGTAGGAGTTGTAGGAGTTGTGGGTGTAGTAGGAGGGGAGTGATAGTATCCACCGCCGCCGCCTCCTGTTGGTGGTGCCGGAGTGGTGTGGTGGCCGCCGCCTCCTCCGGTTGGTGGGTCATGGGTCCCTCCTCCTCCACTAGGTGGGTCATGGGTGCCTCCTCCTCCACTTGGTGGGGTGCCGCAGTTGACCGGAGGTGTGCCGCCGTAGCTGCCGCTGCCTCCATGTGACGGTGGTGTTCCGTGTGAGGGTGTTGGTGTTGCATGGCCACTTCCTCCTCCTGGACTATGTCCTGGTGGACTGTACGAAACTATCACCACAAACAAAAACAAAAAAAAAAAAAATGTCAGCTTTACTGCTTCAGCATGTTACAATGAACTAAGACAGTAAGTTTTTCTTTTCTTTTTTCAACTGTTTATCGAGTTATGCATGTCATTCGATTCCAATTTTATCGGACAAGATAGTAGTTTTACAAAAGAAAAAAGAAAACCTGTGGGAGGGGGGTGAGCATTTGGGTCAGGGGGGTAGTAGGTCTTTTGATCCTGGAAGGTTGGTGAAGAAAGGGCCAAGTTTTGTGATAGCACTAATGCAGCTATAGCTGTCAACAGAAGCAGCCTACTCGACTTCTTCGCCTCCATTTGAGAAAAAGGAAGAAAAGGGAAAAGGAAGGAATGAAGGAAGAAAGATTAGTGATGCCAAAGATGGTGTGGTGTTGTGGTGTATATAAAGAATTTATCCCCACAGGACTGAAGAAGTAAATATAAGCAGGTGAATGAGTATGTGGTTAGTTGTATGTGCTGCAGCTGCATTTAAACTCTCATTTAAATCTCACATCTCATCTTTTTATTATTATTATTACTGTTCACAAAAATATAAAATATCTTATGCTAATTATTCAACTTCCAATACCAAAATCTATGCACAATATTTTGTATACATATTGGAGAATTGGAAATTCATCAATAATTTACATTTTCAGCTACAACTTTACAACTTTTATCTATCAATTTATTACAAGCCTGCCTTTGTTCCTTTAAGCAGTTTTTTGTCACTGCCACGTGCAGTTTTCATGGGTTACATTAAGCCAATTTGCACCGATTAGAGTTCTTTATTGCTCCATTTTCTTTGGATAATTAGCTTTTGTTCAATATTATCGGACATTTTAGAAATTTAATAATATGTTAATTACTAATTCTTCAAATTCTTCATTATTACTCCTCATAGACAAAACAAGTAAATAAATAAGTACAGCCCTCGTTACGAGAGTTGGTACCTAGCATTTACCAATACGGTAAAAGTTTAGGCTTCGATACTAAAATAAAAAAGATCTATAGATATTTATTATTAGTTTTTTTTAAAGGGCACATTACAAATAATCTCATCATGTGATATTTTATTCATAAAGGTGTCCAGACAAAAAAATCTTTTACAAAAAAATCAACTCATTGTTCAGAGGTGTATAAAAGACTAAAATACCCCCTCACATTTTAGTATGCTCAAATTTCATCATTTAATTAAATTTAACATCAATTTGATCCAAATTTCACAAATTCTTCAATTTTGACCAAAAACTCAATTTTGAATACAATTTAGCCCGTCGCCGCCGTTGACCACCGGTTTCCAGAGTTGACTTTTTTTTCGATTTCCTTTTTTTTTCCTTCTGCCGTCGCTGACCAGCGGTCAACGCCGGTCTCTTGCGACATTGACTTTTTTTTTTTTTAACATCTTTTTACCCCGTTTAAAAAGCAATATTGTTGTAGTTGACAGTTATAGTAATTATATTACTGTTAAACACATCAATATTAACTATACTACAGTTTAACACAATAATATTGATATATTAGTCTCTAGCACAATAATATTAGCAGCACAAAAATCATTATATTGTATAATGGAGTAATATTAATATGTTGACCGTTCAACAAAGTCAAATATAATAACAAGCCAAAAGAATTAATATTGATTTGGTTGACAGTAATATTACTGTCATCCACAGTAATATTACTGTAACAACAGTAATATTACCGTTCACCACAATAATATTATTGTGTTTCGAGTAATATTACAATAGTAGTCAGTAATATTATTACGTTAATCGGTCAACAACTCAAACAAAATTAAAAAAAAAAAGCCAAAAAAATAAATAACATTGATGTGGTTGAGAGTAATATTATTGTGTTTACAGTAATTTTACCATCAACAACAGTAATATAATTACGTTCACTTGTCAACAAATTAAACAAACTAAACAAAAAGCCAAAAAAATAATAATATTATTGTTGATAGTAAATGTACAGTCAACGACAGTACAATTACTGTCAGCGACAATATAATATGATAGTACAATTACGGTCAACGTTCAGCAGCGGGCAAAAAAAAAAAAGGATAAAAATTTTAGGAAAATTAAAAAAGAAAAAAAAACTATAAAAAAAGTCAATGCCAGAGATCGCGGTCAATGGTGGAAACCGGCGGCGGAAAAAATAGATAGAAAAAATAAATTAATTAATTACTTAATTAATTAAAATTAAAAAAAAAATCAATGCCGGAAACCGATGGCAAAAACGAATTTCACAAAAAAAAATCAAAATTGGATTTTTGTGATCAAAATTGATTAAATTGGCGTTACAATTAATAATTGGGTGTAAAAGGTTGAGGGTAATATTGTCATATACATGAATTTTGTCTTCATTTATAATACGTATTAAAGGAATGGGCTTATTGGCGAAAAAGATATAATCGCTGAACCTAAAATAATAAAGTTGGTTGTTCAGAGACTTATTCATAAAAAACCCTATTTTAAATACATGTGCTGTTTCTCAAAAAAAAAAAAATACATGTGCTGAAACTTTAAGTTGCACTTAATTTGAAAGGTATGGAGTTGTTCGTTGTTTAATAATGTGTCTTCTTAGTTATATTATCATGTCCTGAAAGAGTAAAAGTGGAGTTTGTTTTCTAATCTTAGCTTGAATTTTGGTCAAGAACTCAATTAACAGGTTTTTTGGTTCATTATTTTTGTCCTTTTTCCAACTTATCCCTATCACTGAAGCAGCCGTTATTAATGCCTGTGTAATAGAGTCTTTCTGTGGTACGTATCGTGGGATTAATGAACAATTTCATGGGAATGGGGTGCATGCAACAGTTGTTAATTAATTGTGCAGCATCTTGTTTGGTGGTGTAACTTAATGTACATCTTTGCTTTTCAAAAATCAAAACTTTCCTACCACAGTTGGTCCCAATAACTACTGTCGATGCTCTACAACTTTATGAGGGGTCTAATATTTCTCGGGTTCGGACGGGAATATCTATGCTACACCTGGTGAATATAACCAGGCACCCTAATTGATAAGATTCCCACTACGGGTTCAGTTATGGCCCAATTGGTTTTAGAATTATAATTATCAAATAAATAAAAAAGGACACATGTCAAGAAAAGAGCCACCCGGTGAAAATCACCGGGTGTAGCATCGTATTATTCCCCGGTTCGGACCCAATATACTTTCAAAACTTCTTATTTTATCTTAAATCTTATATGGAAAATTACAGTTTTCATCCCTCAAGTTTGCACTGATTTCATGCTTGGTCCTCTATGTTCACAAAAAATACATTTGGTCATCCATGTTTCAATAATTTAATGCTCTTGGCCATTTCCGTCAATTTACCATTAATTGTTAGTTAATTCATTGATGGGCCCACGCCTGATTTCGTTAGATTTAATGGAAAATTGACGGAAATGACTAAAAGTGTTGAATTTTTGAAACACGAGGGACCAAATATGTTTTTTGTGAACATGAGGGACCAAATATGAAATCGGTGTTAATATGAAGGATGAAAACTGTATTTTTCTCAAATCTTATATATAAAAGTAATAAACAATAGAGCAATCCTAGCAAACCCTAATTGCATCTTTGTAATGATTTTTTGTTTTAAATTATCTACTAATTTTTTGAAAATAAATTATTGGGTTAAAAACTTCAAAATTGATATGGAATACTTTCAACCTCAATCTCCTATTTTTCAGCATTTTTTCTCTAATAATTCTGCAATGAAATCTTTGACTCTACACCTTTCATGACAAATGATATAGCAGATGGTTATGGAATCATAATGAAATATCAACCGAAGATTTTTTTTTCTTCTAATTAATTATTCTTAGTAAGAACGTTCACATCACAAGGGCAAATGAATATATCCTATATCATGGTTATCGAATCGGAAAATATCGATGTATCGTATCGTTATCGTATCATATCGTACGATATTTAACCAACTATTAAAAATAATAAAATATATATATATATATATCTACATAATAAAAATACTATAAAAATGTAAAATTTAATATTTTAAAGTCAAACCACTCATTCCTAATTTCCTCAAAAAAAAAATAATATATCATAAAATAGGACAGAAGTCATAACTGCTCATAAAAATAACATCAACAAAGTTCAAATTTTGATATCTAATTTGTAAAAAACTAATCTATCACCCATAATCTTCAAGATCAATGTAACTTAATTTTTTTTTCATCCCCCAATTTCAAACGAGTGTCTTCATCCTCATGTTCATCAACCTCTCTAACTTCATCAACTCCAACTTTGGCATTTTTCTATTTTCTATTATCAATATAAAATTTGGCGTGTAAATTTCTTGGATCCAATTTATGTAAAAAAACATTAAATAATATTGAAAATTGTTTTCAGGCCCTGCTAATGTGAATATTTCGTTTTCTTATTTTTTTTCTTTTATTTTTTATTTTTTTTAAAAATTTAAATTTTTTAATTTTTTTTTTTAATATTTTGACTAATATCGTAAATATAGTATCGTATCGTGATATGGCGATACGATACGATATCTCGCGATATTTAACGGTATTTATGCATAGCCGATACATATTATGAGTTGTATCGTTTTGATTGGGACCGTACCGTCTCGCGATATATATCGCGGTATCTCGCGAGTTTAACTACTATGTCCTATATCGATACAATTATTCCTTAAATTAGAAAAGAAATATTTTTCGAATGTTTAATACTATTGCTCATATTTGTATTATATCTTAATAATAAATAAATAAACAAAACCCACGAGCCAACTCTTGAACTATTACAAAGTGAACAATTTTTTTTTCTATTCCAATTGCTATATTTAAATGATTACTTTTTTTTCAATTTTCAAATGCTATCCCGTGCATCGCACGGGGAGAAATGTTAGTTAGATATAATAAGTAATAATCTTATGAAAAAAATTAGGTAATAGTCACAATTGCTGACAATAAATAAGGACAACAATACGGAAAAATGATCTCTTTCGTTAGAAGCTCATCGAAAAATAATTTTGTTTGCTACAAGTTCGTTGAAGCATACCGTTTTCATTTTAGCTTTTTTTTTTTTTTTTTTTTTCTCTTTTCAATTTCTTCTAATATATGCAAATCAAGCTTTCTTAGAAGTTTTTTCAGACGTTTTACGGGGATTGATATCTTACATTTAAGCCTCGAACAATGCATTTTATTATATCTTTTTTTATTTTCATTTGTCTAAACTTTCTTAAAATATCATATTCGTTTCATCCATAAAGACGATTCAGATAGGTCTATATTTTTACATCATTTTTGTGTGTGTTTACATCATATGATTTTGTCTCGTTTCGATGTTCTATAATTATCAGTGTTCTTAAAATCGGCCGATCGAGACAGCCGATTAATCGGTCTCCG